CCCCCGGCCGTCTGACAGGAGAGGAGGCAGGAGAGGTGGGCTCTTCTTGTGGGTGCCCTCTCCTGTCGCGGCCGTTTTGTACCCAAAGCACCCCTTTCCATCCTCCCGTGGCCAATTCCCCCTGGAGGGGCAAGCCTCCCCCGCCCCAATCTGAGCGCCCCCTCCCCTCGTAACGGCAGCGGGCTGGCAAACGACGCAGGGGGAGCTGCGACCGACGGGGCCCCCCTCGCCCCCCAAGGCCTCGCTTACCTTTGGGCACAGCAGGCGAGACAAAGAGCCGCTAGAGCCGAGACAAATCCACTCAGTCTGTCCGCCTGGAATCTCCACATCTCCACTGCCACCACCATGGAGGAAGGGAGGTAGGGCGGGGGGAAGGCGAGGCGAGGCGAGGCGAGGAGGGGCGCGTAGCCTCGACCAGTCACCCTCTCCAGGGGGAAAACAGGGCAACGTACAATTTCCTTTGGTGTCGATCCAAGGTTAGCGTAAAAAGAATTTAATGGAAATCGCGAAGTGTTTTGCCCCCCCTCCCGAAAAAGAGGGGGAGGGAGGAGAGAGTGTGTGAGGAAGGGGGGGATCCCGGGGCGCTCAATGCCCGCCAAAGAACCCACCGCTGCTTCCTCTCCTCCTCCTCCTCCTCCTGGCATCCAGCATCCTTTCAACGAAGCATCCTCGGCGGCAAAAGGAATGAACAGAGAACGTCCCCGGGGAGCAGGGAGCGCAGGAAACCAGCGCCTGCCGCCGCCGCCGCCGCCGCCGCCGCCGCCGGTGGACTCAGCAGAACGGCAAACGGGCTCGGGGCGGGCGGCGGGGAGCAGCGGGAGGGAGAAGGACGGACGGGAAGGATGGATGAATGGATGGATGGATGGATGGAAGGAAGGAAGGAAGGACAGCGAGCCAACGAGGCCCCGATTCCCCTGCGCTCTCTCGGCACGGAAGGCTCCCTCGCCTGCTACGCCGCCATCCAACCAGCCCTGCCTGCAGATGTTGCCCCGCCTCGCTCCTACTAGCCACCTTCAGACGAAGAGGAGGAGGGAGGAAGGAGGAGAAGGGATGTGCCAGGAGGAGGAGGAGGCGAATGAGGGGGGGGGAGTCCGGGTAGGGGGGGAGTCAGCCAGCCAGCCAGCCAGCCGTGCAATCCGGACGCTCGCCCTCCTCCCACCCCCACGCGCGCCCGTGTCCCCCCTTGGCTATTTTTAGAACAGGGTTGCAACCAAAGCCAGAACGACCGGCTTCCGAGGAGGCGGGGTGGGGGGGTGAGGGACTGCTGCAGAGGGGCCGAACCGTCTGGGAACCGGATCGGGGCTCCGCGCCACCTTGTAAGACCGCCGCCGATACGCCAAGTGCGGTCGACGGGAGATGCGAAGTCGCCCTCGGGTTCAGGGTCCGCGATGACCGGACCCGCCGGAGCAGAAAAAGAGCGCGTGCGTGAATGCGCGTAGGCGCGCCCGCCGCCCTGCCTTCCTGCCTACCCTGTGTGCCACAGGTGCGGCAGCGAAGGGTCCCCCGAGCTTGGTGAGAGAAGGAGGGCCGGTAGCCTCTGCCCCCAAACCTAGAGCTCCGAGGATGAAATGAACAGAGCCGACAACACCCGTTGCATCCGATCCTAGGGCCAGGGGAGGGCAGGAAATCCCAGAGCTAACAGCCCCGGAGGGGTGTGTGTGTGTGTGTGTGTGTGTGTTCCCACTCCTTCCTTTTCTCTCTTGCCTGCCCGCTCCGCTCCCAGCTGGCGTTTTTGTTCAGCTGTCCATTCCCCCCCCCCAACCCAAATCCCCAGAAGAGCCACCAGCCCCTTAACCAAACTCAACAGAAGGCAACCATGGGTCACAGGGATCATCATCCAGTGCCTGCTTGGCCTAAGCTGAGGTGGACAATGATGCTAGAAGGGTGGCAGAACTGCTGGTGGGGAGCAAGGGAGGCCCTACTCTTTGCAAAGTGGCACAGGTGCCTCAGGTGGCAGAAGCAGGCTGGTCGAGAGTGGATGGAGAACAGACCTTTCCTAGGTGTTGCAGGAGGCGGTTGCCCCGGTCTCCACACTCGCCTGCTGCTACCTCCCGGTGCAGTGAATGCTGCTGTGATTCACTGCATTGCCAGGAGGACCACTTGCCACACATGTTAGCTTTTCTAAGTAGCATCCTCTCTCTCTCTCTCTCCCTCATTCTCCCTCATGTGTGGTGTCCAATAACTATCCTCCTCTCAGGAAGCATAAGAACATCACAAGACTCTTGAAGGTAGAGCAGGCCAAAGGATTCTGTTCCAGAGTGGTCAACCAGTTGCCCTACTAGGAAGATCCTGAGCAGGACCCTGGGGGTGGAAGAGGCCTCACTCCCTCTGCTCCTGTTCCCAGCAACTGATGTTCATAGAGATGCCCATCAGGCATTTCTCCCTTCTCTGCTCCTGGCTAGTGGTGGCATTGCCAGAGAGGGCAGTACCATCTTGCGCTGTCCTCTTTCTAAACACACAGTCTTACTCCTGCTGCCTAGCTTTTGCAGCTGTTTCACTTCCAAGATGCTCTTGCCCCTTGATGATTCTGGTTGGCTGTTCTGTACCTTTTCTTGCCATAGTCCGTGCTGTGTCCCCTTTTCGGACCCCTGCTACCAGGACTCTGTAGAGAAAGGCAATAGTGACAATGGCATACAAACGAACTGCTCAGGCAATGCTGGGCTGTTCTGCCCACTCTGGCCATTTGGGCAAATAATGCAGAAGCACCTAGACCCAGAGGCTATTACATTGTATAAAGACAACATTTCCCCATGTCTTGGCCTGCCTGTCGCCTGACTGATTGTGCAACCAGGCACATGATCAGTTGCGCAATCAGGGGAAGACCAGGTGCACAATGAACAGCCCAGGGAACAGGTCACATTGCTTGCTCAGGCACAATCATGCGAGACAGTAGGATTCTGGCCAAAGTTGTTTCATTAGCAGCGGCAGCACACATCAAGTCTCATAAGACAGGACTCCTTCCCTGTTGATTGTCTTTGGTTTCTGAGAAGCCAAGGTCCACTTTTCTTATCCACACAGCCATCTTACTTCAGAACTTGGCACTATTTCTTTCCTGCAAGATAGATTTTGAGAATATATATACATAAATAATTCTGCATTCGACAGTCCAGCCCTGGATTATAGTTCCCACCTATTAATTCTAAGTGCTTCAGTGTTAAGGCAAGAACATCCCCTAGGGAGATGTTGCATTTGTGACAAAGACCAACTACCCAAAATCAATTATTTCTCTACACTAATGCATGGAAGAGGGAGAACCATAAGCAGAGGGAATTGCTGCTGCAGTGCTGGGGCAGAGGGGCAGAAGGAACATTGGGCAAGGGGAGAAGAGGGTTGGAGACAAAGGAGAGAACACAAGCACAGGGAAAACCAGAAAGGCAGAGAAAGAAGCAGCTCTGGAATGGGGTGGATGTAGAAAGGTTATGTAGGTGGATAAAAGAAGCAGCACAGACCTGGGAAAGGAAGCAGAAAGAAGACTAGAGTGGATGGATGGTGGAGGGGGGGAGGAGAGGAAGTTCATTGGGGTAGGAGTTACAAAGGACTGGGGTAGGTCTGAGGGAGATGAAGGGGGTTCTAAGCCATAAGAAACAGGTTACGTCTGCTAAAATAAATAGGTATAAATAAACCTGTAACTTCTTAAAACCACAGACTGAATCTTTTGAAATCCTAACAATAATATGCCAACAACATAATGGTTCTCAGACTGGAAACATTCAATATGCATTCCTGTTACCAAGAAAGGAGATGCCAAGGAGTGCAATAACTACAGGACCATTGCTTTAATTTCCCATGCAAGCAAAATGATGCTCAAGGTGTTGCAAAAAGGTGTTTAATTTATATGGAATGAGAAATACCTGATGATAAAGCTAGATTTTGAAAAGGAAGAGACACTCAAGATCATACTGCAAATATTCACTGGCTATTGGAGAGTACCAAAGAATTTCAGAAGAAGATCAATCTATGTTTTATAGACTATAGCAAAACCTTTGACTCAATCATGAGAAACTATGGGTGTGCTTCAGCACTTCAGCACTACGTTCCAATGCATAACCTGTACTGTGGATAAGAAGCTACTGCTGGAATCATAGAATAATAGAATAACTGAGTTGGAAGGGGTCCATATTTCATTCATTCATTCATTCATTCATTCATTCATTCATTGCATTTATACCCCACCCATCTAGTCAATCGACTACTCTATATGGCCATCGAGCCCAACCTGCTGCACAATGCCAGAATCCAAAGCGCATCTGATAGATGGTTGTCCAATTTTCACTTGAATGCCTCAAGTGTTGGTGCACTCACCACCTCCCAAGGTAATTGTTTCTATTGTTGTACTGTTCTAACAGTTAAGAAGTTTTTCCTGATATTCAGCCTAAATCTGGCTTCCTGGGGCTTGAGTCCATTATTATGTGTCCTGCACTCAGGGAAGCTAGAGGACAGATCCTGCCCTGCTTCTGTAGTCATACAGTATTGGAAAAGTGCTATCAGATTTTCCATCAGTCTCCATTTCTCAAGGCTAAACAGGCCCAGTTATTTCAGTTTTCCCTCCTAGGGCTTGATTTCCAGTTCCCTGATCCTCCTGGTTGCCCTCCTCTGAACTTGTCCCAGTTTTTCAGCATCCTTGTTAAAGTACAATGTCCAGAACTGGGCATAACACTCTAGACGAGGCCTAACTAGTATTGAATAGAGGGGGACTAGTATCTTACAGGATTTGAAGACTATACTTCTGTTAATGCATCCTAAAATAGCATTTGCCTTTTTTTGCAGTCCCATTGCACTGTTAGCTCATATTTAGATCGTGATGTACTGCAATTCCGAGATCCTTCTCACTTGTAGTACTGCTGAGCTAAGTATCCCCCATGTTGTAACTGTGTATTTGGTGTTTTCCCCCAGGTGTATAACTTTGCACTTATCCTTGTTGAATTTCATTCTGTTGTTTTCAGCCCAGTCCTCAAGCCTAACAAGATCTTTTCAAATTTTGTTTCTGTCTTCCAAGGTATTAGCTATTCCACCCAAATTTGTGTCATCTGCACATTTGATAAGTGTTCCCTGTACTCCCTCATCCAAGTCATTAACAAAAATGTTGAAGAGCACTGGGTCCAGGACTGAGCCCTGTGGTAACCCACTTGTTACTTCCTCCCAGTTTGAGAAGGAGCCATGATAAGCACTCTCTATGATTTTGTATCTACCTTACAATTGTTCTATCCAGCCCCCTTCAGACAGAACATGGAGCAACAGAATGGTTTCCTATCAGCAAATGTGTCAGACACAGTTGCATTTTATATGCTTATCGGTTCAGTCTATGTATATGCAAAGCACATCATATGGAAAGCCAGACTAGAAGGAAGGAAGACTGATGAAGGAGGACTGAAAATTGGTGGAATAAACAGCATTATCTAAGATATACAGGTGACACCATCTTACTGGCAGAAAGCAGCAATGACCTGAAACATTTTTAGTGATGTTTTAGTGAAAGTGAAAAAAGAAAGTTCCAAAGTAGGACTACAGTTGAACATTAATAAGACTGAAATCATAACTAGAGAAGAACTATACAAATTTAATGTTGACAATTAAAGGTTTTGTATACCTTGATTTAATCATCAATCCAAAGGGAGACTGCAGCCAAGAAATCAGAAGAAGACTGAGACTCAGAAGGGCAGCAATGAAGGGATTACAACAGATCATCAAGTGAAAGGATGTCTCATGGGAGACCAAGGCTGAGATAATCC